AAGGATGGAGGAGGCCTGCCATGGCCTCACACCTCAGCCACCTGGCACGTTCATGCTCCATAAGACAAAGACAGGTGAATCGGTGGGATAGTGCTTAGTGCTTCAAGAGACAGGAGGCCAAATGGGACACGATGTGTGCTGGAGCTTGGTATCATGGCTTGATGAGGATGCCCAATAAATGGTGTTGCTTATTCTTATTGCCTTTGAGGCCAGACGCAGGGGATCTGGAATGAAAAGATGTGGTTGCCACTCTTATAGGTCACATGGTCTGGTTGTACTGAGGATCCAGGCTGGCATGCCCGTGTGCGCAGCAGAGAAAGCGAACTTTGCTCCTCCTTTCTCTTTGTAACAGGTTCTCTCTCAAAGGGCTGCCAGGATCACGCTGCAGGCAGGGAAAGGAAATTTGGGGGCTAGATGACCCCTTGGAATGGTATAGGATAGACAATGCTTGAAGATCCAGGAACTGAGGGAGAGAACAAAGTCTGAACTCTGAAGGGTTGGGTAGAAAAGGCTAGGTTTTCCTTGACTCTCTAGGGCTTGCTGGTCTCCATGAAGTCACTTCCGGTCAGGACCTGACCAGATATTAGGGTAATTCTAAATACCTGACACAGGACTGGCCTTCAAGAAGCACAGAGCTGGTCTGGTGGTCAGGAGATGGTCAAGAATCGTTTTCTAGCTGTTGGAGCTCTGTTAAGTTACTTAACCTCTCTGAGCCTCAGCTTCCTTGTCTGTAAAATGGGAAAAACCATACTGTATGGTCATATTTGAATCGCTTGAATTTTAAATAGTATGATGTAAATATTTATGGTTTCACTTTGAGTGTGAAAGTTTGTCAAGAACCTTGCAAGGCGGCATGAATTGTAAATTGTAAACTGCGTTTATGCTATAGCCACATGATAGCCCTATTCAAATAGGTAAACAGAAATATTGCTTTCCTTTGGCAGGCGAGTTTTGAATTATACCTGTTTGAGTTATTCGAGGTCTTCAGAAATGTCTCCCTGAGTAATTTGATTGCCTGTATCTCCCTTATAAAGTAATTATGAAAATTAAAAGAGATGATGCAGGAACCAGCCCACAGGAAGCACTCGGTAACAGCAGTGTTGTTCTGATATAATAATAATATGTGAAAAAGAGGAGAGATATGGTGGGAGAAGGGTCTGCTTTGTTCTCATCTGTAGAATGGTGATAATGATGAGCCTGTGAATAGTTGGACAATTGTGAGCTCTGGGATAATTGGTGTCATTGAAGGCAGTTAAAACTACTGACGTGATTTTATAGCATGGCATAATGCAGAGGGGCAGGATTTCTATAGGGGCGCCCTACTTTAAACAAGATTGTAAACTTTGAGTTTAGCCATTTGGTGACCAGCTTTTTGTTAAGATTGCAATGTGCAAGGACCTCTGGCTGGGAAGGATTAAGAAGCTATGGAAGATGGCTCTGCCACTGAAGAAATGATATTCTAGGTGGGAGGTGACCACTTGGCTTATCAGTGGCCTTATGCAAACAACAGACTGCACCATGCTTTTTAAAAAAAAAAAAAATTAGAAATTGTTACCAATGTAAAACTTGAGACACTTTATGTTAAAATCAAGTTTTCCAGCTTTTGCGGGGGTTGGGGTGGGGATCTGGCAATGCTCCAGCAGGGCACCAACTGGCTGCCCCTTGAGTCAGGGTGTTATGAGCTGAATTGTGTTCCCCAGAATTCATATGTTGAAATCCTAACCCCTAGAACCTCAGAAGGGGCCTGTATATAGAGACAGGACCTTTTAAGAGGTAATTAAGGTGAAACAAGGTCATATGGATGAGCCCTGATCCAATATGATTAGGTGTCCCTTATAAGAAGAGATTAGGACATAACATACAGACTGAAGGATGGATGACCACCTGAGGTCACAGTGACCATCTGCAAGTCAAGTCAAGGAAAGAGGCCTCAGAAGAAACCAACCATAGACTTCTAGCTTTCAGAACTGTGAGAAAATAAACTTCTTTTGTTTAAGCCACCTGGTGTGTGGTATTTTGTTACTGCTGCCCTAGCAAACAAATACACAGGACCTAGGTTCTTCCGTGTCCACGGTCCTCACCAGCCCTAAATGTCATGCATCCCCTTCACTTATGCATCATGCGCAGCCCTGTTTGGCATATAAGTTTGCAACCTCGTATCTAGAGAAAAGGGGAGTCTTCACATAGGTGTCCTCCATTCATGTGTGTGTTCTTATTTCAAAGCTTTGATGTTCATTTCCTCCTTTAATTCTTCCTACAGTTCTATGAGGCTGATACTATATCATCCCCATGTGGCAGAAAAGAAAACAGCTCAGAAGAATGAAGTCATTTTTCCCAGGTCAAAGCTGGGATGGAAGCCAGGCCTGAGGACTTGGGGCCCAGGGCCCATGTCCCCCTACCATGACCCCTCTTTTTGAGCACAGGACCCATGTACATAAAGATTTAATATAATAGGTCAGCTCTGGTGTGTGTGTGCATGTGATAGAGAAATGCACAATCCAAAGGAAGAATTTTTTACTTGAAAAAAGATTTGGCACAGAATTCCTTGCAAAAGTAAGCGTAGACTAGAACTTGATTAACAGAACTTCGATTTATGCAGGAGTTCATCTCAGGGAGGCAAAGCCAGGTTGGCAGGCCTCTGAGGTGGAGGAAGGAGTGTGGGATGCTGTGAGTGTATACAGGGATTCTGTTACCCCATGATGAACATTCAGGAGTAGAAAGTATCAGAGACTGAGACCCAAGGAAAGGTTTGGTCATCTATGTCCACTCAGCAGATGAGGATGAGAGAAGAACCAGCGAGATAAGGCAGAAGAGAGGCACTGGCAGAGAAAGAAGTAACTTCTCGGGGAATGTGCTGCATGTTTGATGGAGGCAGAGTAGCTCTGGAGATGACCCCAGATGTGCGAAATACATCTCCATTCATGCAACGACACACTGTGACACAATTATAACAAAGCAGGTCTGTATGTGCGGATATGGAAAGATGGCCAAGATACGCAGAGTGAGGAATGCAAGCTGCAGCCTGGAATGTAAAGTATGATTCTGAGTTTAAAAAAAAAAAAAAAGGATACAAATATATATGACATTTCGGAACGGCCAACACA